GACACTTGTGTGCACACTTGGTTAATTTCCATGACCCACATTTATGATAAAGCCTAGGGATTTGTGGTTAGAGTGACAATGATAAGCGCCAACAATGTTGGATTTTGCAAAGCTAGAGGTTCTTCTACAATTCTTGCAAACGTTCACAAAAAAAGCTAACTTAACGAATTGATTTCAACTAAGAGCTGGTTTAGAAGATGGATGACTCTTAGATTGAACTTGGAATCTATGATGGTCACTCTTAGATTCCAAGACGACTCACTCCAGAATTAGCTTGGATCAAAACTAATTCAATGAATCGATTTAAACATCAAACCTAAAGCAAGGTTTGAAAAATAATAACACCAAAAAGGTATCAAGAAAACACAAAGGTTTTGTTTGTATTCAACCATGATGTACAAACCTGAATATTACATGTCTTTAAATAGGCCAAAAAGATAACTGAGTTCATCTACCAACGACAAACTACCAATAAAAACTAGTAAATACAAATGGAAGAAAATAAGACATACATAAATTGTCTTAATTGGTAGTTCAACTACCAAAGTCAAAGTCTTCTAATCACTTTCTAATGTCAGCCACTCTATTATTTTTTTGATTTGATATGCTAATGCTATAAAGTTTTTTGACTCAAAAGTCTTTGTTTCAACTTGTACACTAGCTAGCCATTGAAGATGCAATGTATAGGCCTCTTAAATTTTCTTAACCTTGCTTCTTGTAATTGGTCCTTCGGGTATATACAAAGGGTCAATAATTGAATTCATATGAGACAAGTCACTAAGTATAGACTTAACCCTTCCTCTAGGAGCCTAACAAACCACCACGACATATGAACCACCTCTAGAGTACCCTTAGTCTGCATGTGTGTGATTGATGTCAGCTTCGTGGGGACCAAGGGGTTCTTGATCAGAGCCCGACTACTCTTAGCCGTTTTAGCATGGGAAAAGTGTGCCCACGTCGTATAGACCATTTAGCTGGATGGGTTAAGGGGGTAGCTCTCCCTGACCAGGGGGACTAACATGGACCTAGGAGGTTGCAACTCACTTCTTAGCTAAAAATTTTTTTATAGAAGAATGAGAGTTCCAATCCTTTCTTCACATGAATGAGATTTTCGTTCACAAATTTGTTATGGGTGAGAGTGGTTTTGTAATAGATTCAATAAATTTGTTATTTCGGGGACTAACCAAATGAGAGGTTGTTTAAGAAGATAGAATTCACTCATTTTCATATTTGTAAAAGTATATTAATAATTTCCTTAATAAGCAACAATAAAGCGTTTAACGAGTTGTGCTTAACATACATGAGAGGCGTGTAAATGTGGTAAAAGTTGAAGCATGTGAGTGATATGTGGTTTGTTATTGAAAGCACAAAGAAAAGATAGAATTTTCATGGGTTTTGTCCTGCTAGGAAAGCTGTGAAGAGTGCCAAGGATCTCCCTGGAGAAGTGTAGGGAGCTTGATGAGCTGCTCCTCTGATGGTGGCGAATGATAGAATATTCTTCTCCCCAAATCCTTCGACCCATCCTCCAACCTAAAACACAGTGCAAATTTTTTTAGCTCAACCAAATATATTTTTTAAAATATTTGCATAGAGCTTGTAGTATTGGTTTTTGAAGTAGAATTTGATTTTATGTTAAATGATTAAAATTAAAAAGTAACATGCATATAATTACCTGTTGTTTGTAAAACCAAGGTGAGTAAGGCAGAGTGCCGTTTAATTTTAAAGCCTTTGCCAGCTTATTCACCAGAGTTCGAGTTCCAAGTAACGGAATTACAGCATCTTGATCTCCACTGCCAATCAACCGTGCGTAGAGTTTAAATTGATATAATTATTAATCGTAATTATACACAAATTCATGTAAGATAAAAAATAAAAAAACCTGTAAACCAGAACCCTTAGCCCAGAACGCAGGAGTGAACCCACAGTTTGAATGGTGGGTATGAATAAGTCGGTCAAATCATAGTTCAAAACACTGCAACAAATGAGGCAATGAGCAAAGATGATTTAGGAATGAAGAGATGATGATATTGGGAAGAAATGGATACCCACCCGCTACATAGGGACCAACTAGATACTCCAACCAGCCGCGCATGAAGAGCCTCTTGCACATCCGCTCTGTTTAGATATGCATCCACTTCATTCAATATGCACACGTCTATCTTTTCATCCTCCTGTAACAATATGAGAAATTTGTTCGAGAATTATTAGGAGAAGTAGTCCATATTGGCTAATTAAAAGGGAGATTGTAGGTTTATATCTTTTCATCCTCCTATAACAATATGAGAAATTTGTTCGAGAATTATTAGGAGAAGTAGTCCATATTGGCTAATTAAAAGAGAGATTGTAGGTTTATAAATAAGGAATACTATCTTCATTGCTACGAGGCCTTTTAGGAAAACAAAAAACAAAACCATGAAAGCTTATGCTAAAAGTGGACAATATCATACTATTGTGAAGGGTCGTGATTCCTAACAATATTAAGGGGACGTGAACCGAAACTTACAGAGTATTGCGGGAGGGCAGTGGAGGACGATTTGGCTGCGTTAGCTTGATCTCCTTGTCTGGTGGAAGTGAGCGAATGGAGGGTGCCAGGAGCAGCCGGGGGCTGACTTAAACACACATCCACATTGATAGAATACACATTGATGAAATCAGAGATCTGTTGGGACACCAAATCATCGATTTCTGAACATGCAGCTGAGATATTATTGCCTTTAACAATGGACTCTCTTGTCATTTGGGAAATGCTGCAAACTGTGTTTAGAAGTTTATATGCATAGTCTGAAATCACTCCATGAGACCATAAATATGTGCCTCTTGAATTGAAATCCGTGTTGAATTCCAGCAATGGATTCCCTATCTGAAATTGTTTCGGGTTCTTAGTTTTGTTAATACCGTTTAAACCGAATATTAAGAAAAATAATACTAACCGCTATAGCCTTGAGTTTAATATAGAGTTTCGATTTAAGGATTAGGCTGGCTAGTTGTGGAACGTAATGGCCTGCGTAGCTCTCTCCTGTGATGTACAAATCTCGGGTTTTGTATTCTGGGAATTTGTCCAACCATCGCTCGAGGAAAACTAAGTTGTCTTGTGCTGCAATCACCCAAACCATATATTTGATCATTGAATCGTCTCAAAATTTACCTGAGCTTGTTGAGGATTATTGGGAGAGAGTCTCACATTGGTTAATTAAGGGAATGATCACCGGTTTATAAGTAGGAAATACGTTTCCATTGGTATGAGGTCTTTTGGGGAAACTAAAAGTAAAGACATGAGAGTTTATGCTCAAAGTGGACAATATCATACCATTGTTGAGAGTCGTAATTCTTAACCGAACTGACCTGTAATTTTGTCGTTAACAGTGTCATAGAATGAGGTGTTTTCAGAAAACGAGAAGCCAACTCCAGCCGGAGCTTCGAGATATAATATATTTGCCACTGTATCAAAACATTGGTACGTTATTGAATCCATGCATTTCAAGAAGACGAACAAAATTAATCCTCTAAATAACACAAACCATTGTTCCAACTAAATTGATTGAGAATCAAAACGTCCCCCTTGGGTCTAAAAGGGCCATGCTCGGTAAGAGCTCCAGCACCAAGAGATGAACAACCAGGGCCTTAAAAACGAAACAAAAACACATCACAACGCAAAATTCGAACTTAAAAATGGCATGATGAAGAAGAAATAAGCTCAAAACTTTACCTCCATTGAGCCAAAGAACAAGAGGGCGTGAATAAGGATCCGTTTGGGCCTCAACAAAGTAGTAGAAAAGAGATCTATTTTGGAGTTCATCAATGCTAATATACCCACCAAATTGTCGAAAGCTAACACTTGGTTGGCCTGGTAAGCTCTTGATGAAATCGCCACCATTGAAACACTCTCCATATTCAAACCAAATTTGGATCAAACCAACCAATGCAATACCTTTCAATATCCATTGCTTACAAGAACAAGGCCTCATTATTCTCTTAGATTAATTACACTCTTTCTTTGCCTCATCACAAATGTTCTTCTTTGCCCATCTATTTATATACTCATAAACCTTGTTGTTGCTGCCTTGGCTTGCTTGGATTATACCCACAACCCTTCTGTTGGTGGCATCATCAATATTTCTTCCAAATATTCAGACATTCTTCAGGAAAAATCAACATATGTATTGCAGCCGCCGTTGGCCGGCAATGCTATTTGCCGTTTATGAACATAAATTTATGTTAAAAACAGCTGGAAGTTAAGTCTGTATGTCTGTCGTGTTGTAATGAACTGAGTTGTTTTGTTTTATTTGGATTTATGTATTGGGAAAAGTCTTAGGTTCAAGAGGTATTGTTCTTTGAATTTCTTGAACTGAGTTGTGACTCCATATCACCATTACATTTCTTGAAAACACAATCTTTTTCACAAATGAACGTTGAATATGAACATTGTGATGTATTTACCATTTATTATTCAAATTGAACATGCAATAACAATTTCAAGAGAATTTCAATAACGAAAGAGTATGGAATTGATAATAAACATATTGAGAAGGGGTATAATGATTAGGGCGTTGACGACTTACAGTGATGCTGGTTACCACTCAATGCCACTTTTACGAGTTTTCATCGTCCTCTATAGTGTCATCCGATATCTGTAACGATCCACTTTTTTAGGTTTTGAATCATAGATTGCCACGTGGATTCAAGGGTGACATAAAAGAATTTTAAAGTATCAAACCATGTCCTAGAGGCTTATCAAAATAGTTTAAAAAAAACACATTTCATGAAAGATACATTTAAAATAATATTAAAATGATCCGAAGGAAAAAAATAATGGTAAGAATAAGTATAAAAATATTTAATAAGTACATACTTGTACACTCTCATCGATGTACTAGTTGTACTAGGATCATTTCTAGTCCTATCAGGTAGAGATATGTCACAACCCAATTTTCGAGCTTTCAAAGCTCGGACCGTAACCAAAAAGACAAAGCAAAAATAGACAAAAATAAAAGATAAAAATCTCATAAAATTTTTAAATTCGAAGAAAAAGAAGTTTAATGTTTCAAATATTACAAAGAGAACAACTATAAAAGAGAATACAAAAGACTCCAAAACGAGACTGACGCTCCAAGACAACCCCCTCTGTAACGGCACAACTCTCAAACGTTCCTCCAACTCAACCGGCAGCCTGCGATCATCTGAAAAAATGAAGAAAAAGAGGGATGAGTATAAAAATTATACTCGACTCTAGGACGTCTAGTTCTGATCTTATCCTCTTGGGGCTATTCTGGTTCTCCGTCCTTTCATTTAAACCCTAAGAGTTCCTTATGTCGAACTATGAATGGCTGGTGTCTCACTACGTAGCGCTACCTCATGCATGGCTATTTGAGACTATATGATATCTTACCTAGTAGTGTGTTGAGTACCTCCTAGGTCCATGATAGTCCACCCTCATGGGGGGCGCAACCCCTCCCATATCCCATGCAACTAATGGGTTGTACGACCAAAGACAAAATCTTCTAATCATGCATGTTCCAGATTGTGGCTACGACTTTCTCCCCTGTCACCTCGTCAGCCACTCCATTATTTTCTTAATTTGATATGCTAATGTTATAAAGTTTTTTGGGCTTAAAAGTCTTTGTTTCAACTTAAACACTAGCTAGCCTTTGAAGATGCAATGTATAGGCCTCTTGAATCTTCTTAACCTTACTTCTTGTAATTGGTCTTCGGGTACATGCAAAGGGTCAATAGTTGAATTCATATCATCCTCCTTTTTTTTTAAAGAATTTGTCCTCAAATCAAGGTCTTCATTCCCTTCATTCCCTAAATCAAATAGAGTCAAATTAGCCACATTAAAAGTAGAACTTACATTGTACTCACCTTTGAGATCTAGCTTGTATGCATTGTCATTGATCCGCTCTAGTACTTGATAAGAACCATCTCCTCTTGGTTGAAGTTTAGATTTTCTCTGATTTGGAAACCTTTCCTTCTGTAGATGAACCCAAACCCAGTCACCTTGTTTAAAAATCAATTTCTTTCTTTTATGTTTTTGTGAATTCTTTTTATGTATTCGGCTCTTGAAGAAGCTACATCATTAACAAACATATTAGGTGGCAAAGGTGATAAATCTAGAGGAATTAAAAGATTAAATCTATACCCAACCTCAAAAGGTGAACAATGAGTGATGTTATGTATCGCTCTATTGTATGCAAATTCCACAAAAGGTAGTCTCTTCCCAAGACTTAAGATTTTTGAAAATTAGTAACCTAAGTAAGGCTCCTAATATTCTATTAACGACTTTAGTTTGTCCATCGGTTCGAAGGTGACAAGTTGTAGAAAATAGAAGCTTAGTTCCCAACTTTCTCCCACAAAACTTTCCAAAAATGACTTAAAAATTTTACATCCCTATCACTAACAGATTTTGGGAATACCATACAATCTAACCACTTCCCCAAATAATAGATTAGCTATGTTGGTAGCATCGTCTGTTTTGTTACATAAAATGAAATGTGCCATCTTACAAAACCTATCAACTACCACAAAAATTCTATCATGGTGTCTTCTAGTTGTCGGTAATCCTAGAACAAAATTCATGCTAATATCAATCCATGGTTCACTAGAAACATCTAAAGGTGTGTAAAGATCATGTGGTTATCTTAGACTTCAAACATTTAAAACATTGTTTGCATACTTTGTTCACATCTTTTCTCATTTTTAACCCATAAAAATGTTCACACAACATGCTATATATTTTAAATTCTCCAAAATGTTCCATAAGTCCTCCCCCATGAGCCTCTTTTATAAGTAATTCTCGAATAGAACACTTAGGGATTCAAAGTTTACCCTTCTTAAAAAGCATATCATCGAACACAATATGATCTTGCACATATTTCTGTTCTAAACATTTCAAATACACATCCAGATTTTTCAACTTTGTATAATTCAATAATGGGTTTAAAACTAAGAATTTTTGGCAATAAGGGAAGAAAATAAAGCATACCTTCTTGATAATGCATCTGTGACCACGTTATCCTTCCCCTTTTTGTAATGGAATTACATAAGGAAATGTCTCAATGAATTCCACCCATTTAGCATGTCTCCTATTTAGCTTTGTTTGGCTTTTGAGGTGCTTCAAACTTTCATGATCCATATGAATAACATACTCTTTTGGCCACAAATAATGTCGCCAAACTTGCAAAGCCCTCACAAGTGTATACAACTCTTTGTCATAAGTCGGATAGTTGAGTTGTGCTCCATTAAGCTTTTCATGGAAGAACATGATTGGACTTTTTTCTTGCATTAAAACAGCTCCTATGCCTATTCCACTTGCATCACATTCAATTTCAAAAAAATTGTCAAAGTTAAATAAAGCAAGACAAGGTGCATTGGTTAAAACTTTTAGTTGGTTAATTTATCTTTTAGTTCATTGAATGCATTCTCTTGTTTTTTTCTTTCATTCAAATTTCACATGCTTTTTAACAAGTTCATTCAATGGTGTTGTTATGCTACTGAAATCCTTAATAAATCTCCTATAGAAACTAGCCAAACCATGAAAAGATCTTACCTCGGTTGCATTTGTTGGTGTTGGTCATTCTCTAATAGTTTTTACCTTTTCTTCATCAATTTGTACTCCATTCTTTCCAGCTAAGAACCCTAGGAAGTTGACTTGATCTAGACAAAAACGGCACTTTTTGAAGTTGGCATAAAGCTTCTCTTTGCTAGGTTTAAACAAAATTTTCTTAACGTGTAAAATATGATAAACAAGGAAATCATCAAAGTATACAACAACAAATTTTCCAATATAGTCTCTCAAAACATGATTCATTAGCCTCATACAAGTACTTTGTGCATTTGTAAGGGCAAACGGCATAACGAGCCACTCATAAGACCAAAACTTTGTTTTGAAAATCGTTTTCCACTCATCTCCCACATTCATTCGAATTTGATGATAACCACTTTTAAGATCTATTTTTGAAAACAGATTAGCACCATAAATTCATCCAACATGTCACATCCAATCTAGAAATAGGATGTCGATACTTTACCGTTATCTTGTTGATAGCTCGACAATCAACACACATCCTCCACGTGTTATCTTTCTTGGGTACCAAAATCACAGGAACCGAACAAGGACTCATGCTTTCTCTAACATAGCCTTTATCCATGAGTTTTGTTCCACTTGTCTCTGAATGTTCTTAGTCTCGGTGGGATTGGTCCTATAGGCAGCCATATTAGGAAGAGTTGCCCTAGGCACGAAGTAAATTTGGTGTTCAATCCCTCTTAGAGGGGGTAACCCCGTACATGCATCTTCATGTGGAAACATGTCATTGAATTCCTGCAAAAGAGACTTAAAAACACTTGGCAAAGCATCATTAGTTTTTTGTTCTATTGCTAAACACATTCCTTTGCACATAAGTACAAATTTTGGTTCTTGAGCTAACATATTCTTCATTTCTTCCTTTCTTATAACCAAATTAATATTTTCTCTCTTTTCCTCAAAATCATTTTTTTTCCTCAAAATCATTTTTTTTCTTTCTTGGTTTTCACTCATCCTTTGCCCCTCACTTTTCTCTTTTTTTTTTTTTTTTTTTTTTTTTTTTTTTTTTTTTTTTTTTTTTTTTTTTTTTTTTTTTTCACTCTTATCTCTATCTTTTACCTTAGTTTCTCTTCTCTACGGTTGTTCTTCATATTTTTTTCTTTTCTTTTCTAATTTTAATTGGTCACAATGTACTTCATATTGGAGACAATGGAAGTAAAGTAAATTTCTTCCCACACAAAGTAAAAGTATACTTGTTCATCAATCCATCAAATGTTACCTTTCTATCATATTGCCAAGGTCGGCCGAACAAGATGTTTCCCGCATGCATTGGTATGACAAAGAACTTCATCTTTATATCTTCCAAGAGTAAAAGAAATAATAGCTTGGGAGTTCACCCTAATTTCTTCTTTGGTTGTCAACCATTAAAGTTTGTATGGTTTTGGATGGGGATGGGTATAAAGTTGAAGTTTTTTTATAAGGAAACTGCTTACTACATTTGTGCAACTTCCACAATCAATCACCAAGGTGCATGGGTTTTCTTTGATCAAACATCTTGTGTGGAACAAGTTTTCCCTTTGATCTTCAAATTTCTCTTCCTGATTTGAACATTGAGTGCCCTCCTTGTGATAAAGATATGGAATTGACGTAGTTAATTTGTTAAGAAAACTAATTTGGAAAAGCCAGTTGGAAGAAAAAGACCCAGAGTTCTTTTACGGAATGATGGTAGGGTTTATGAGAATTTCTCTCACCCTGTTATTAGTAATAGAAAAGGTTTATACCTAATCCCTTTCTGTAAATTCAGAGCAAAAGAGCAGAGAGCAAGAGAAAAGAAAACAAGAAGTATAGTGTAATAAAAAAAAATTTCAGTATTTTTTGTCTCCTTGTCTCTTCCCTCTCGACATCTCCTTCACAAGTACGCGAGTAGTATTTTCGCAAAGTGGTATCGGAACGTTCAATTGTTAGTGTGTGTGAGAGTTACTTCACAAATTCGTGAGTCTTATTTTAACAAAATGGTATCAGAGCCGATGGTGAATATGATGGGTCAAATGCCGCTACCGCAATTAACGAAGACGAACTACGAGAATTGGAGCAACCAAATGAAAGCTCTTCTCGGTTCTCAAGACTCATGGGAGGTGGTCGAAGAAGGTTTCTAAGAGCCAAAGGATACCACGGGTTAGATGGTGGCGCAAAACACGGCGTTAAAAGAATTGAGATCAAAGGATAAGACAGCATTATACATGCTGTTCTGGGCCGTTGACGAGTGCCAAGGCAACTACATCAAAAGAAACGTGGGACACTTTAGAAAAAGTGTTCAAAGGAACCGACCGAGTCAAGCAAGTGCGTCTCCAAACTCTTCGTGGCGAGTTGGAGAGCATGAAGTTGGAGTCAGAAAATGTATCTGACTACATTATGCGCAAGATTGTGGTAAACCAACTAAATCGAAACGAAGAAATGTTACCTGAGACACGGGTTGTGGAGAAGATCTTGAGGTCATTAACCAACAACTTCGAGAATGTTGTATGTGCGATAGAAGAATCAAAGGACCTAACGATGTTCACGGTCGATGAGCTCGCCGGTTCTCTTGAGGCACATGAGCAACATAAGAAGAAGGAGAAAACACTCGATCAAGCATTTCAAACCAAGGCATCAATCAAAGATGAAAAAGGTACTCTACTCTCAAAATTTTCAAAGTAGAGGTTGTGGTTGTGGAAGTCACGGAAATGGTCAATGTGGTCAAGGCAGCAGGAATGAAGGACATTATAAGGAAAAGAGACGGTTGAGCCAAGAAAATTGGTGTGGAAGAGGACGCAGTCAAGGATATCATTCCAACATTCAGTGCTATAAATGTCAAGAATATGGTCACTATGCGAATGATTGTAACGCTGACAAATGTTACAATTGTGACAGAGTAGGGCATGTTGCAAAAGATTGTTGAGTCGGAAAAATGGTGGAAGGAGCAACCAACCTAGCCTTGGAAAACGTAACAAATGAAGGTCTTCTTTTGATGGCTTAGAAGACAACATCAACAACGACACTCTGTAGTACCTTGACTCAGGGGCAAGCAACCATATGTGCGGTCACAAGCACCTATTCAAAGAGATGCAAAAGATTGAAGATGGTCATGTGCCATTTGGAGATGCGTCAAAGGTGGAGGTCAAAGGCTGAGGTACGATACATTTCTTACAAAAGGATAGTTTAATGGGGTCAATCCAAGATGTTTATTACGTACCAGACCTCAAAACCAACATATTGAGTATGGGGCAACTCATAGAGAAAGGTTACTCGATATTCTTAAAAGACCGCCTGCTACACCTGAAGGATAAGCAAGGGCATTTGGTTGCTCGAATCGAGATAGGAAGAAATCGGATGTACAAACTGAATTTAAGAAGCATACAAGAAAAGTGTTTGCGAGTCGACGTAGAAGACAAGGCATCACTGTGGCATCGCCGCTTTGGTCACCTACATCATGGCGGCCTAAAGAAGTTAGCGAAGAAGAATATGGTGCATGGGCTACCCATCATAGACTTTTGAAGGAAAATTTTGTGAAGAATGCGTGCTAAGCAAGCATTCGAGAACCTCAATTCAAAAGAAGGCTAAATTTTGGGCTAAACAACCTCTCGAGTTGATCCATATAGATATATGTGAACCAATTACTCTCGAGTCTTTAAGCGGAAAAAGGTATTTCATTTCCTTTATCGATGATTACTTACGAAAAACTTGGGCTTACTTTCTTAAAGAAAAATCTGAGGCATTCAAGATGTTCAAGAGCTTCAAAGTGATGGTGGAGAAGGCAAATGGTAGACACATCAAAGTTGTACAATCCAATAGAGATGGCGAGTATACTTCAATGGCTTCCATGGAGTATTGCGAGGAGCAAGGCATAAGGTGATTTCTAACCGCACTGTACACCCCTCAACAAAATGATGTGGCCAAGAGAAAGAACCGGACCATTCTCAACATGGTTCGATCAATGCTCAAGAGCAAAAGGATGCTAAAGGAATTTTGGGCAAAAGCCGTGCAATGCGCCATCTACGTACAAAATCGATGTCCACATGCGAAGTTAGATGATCAAACACCACAAGAGGCTTGGAGCAGACAAAAGCCTACAATCTCTCATCTCAAAGTGTTCGGTAGTGTGGTTTATGCTCACGTACCGGATCAACGAAGAACGGAGCTCAAAGAAAAAAGCAAAAGGTATATTTTTATTGGATATAATGAGAAGACAAAAGGATACAAGCTACTTGACCCGATAAGAAAGATGGTGATAGTGAGTCGTGATGTGCGAGTAAATGAAGTAAGTGAATGGGACATCAGTATTTGCACCAATAAGTGCACCAACAAACCCAAAAATTCCGATGACGAAGATGAACCACGACAACCCAAAATGCGAAGTTTGCGAGACTTGTATGATTCAACAAATGAGGTACATCTTGTATGTCTTCTAGCAGATGTTGAAAATATCAACGTTGAAGAGGCAGTGCGAGACAAAAAGTGTCAAACTGCCATGGATGAAGAGATTAAAGCGATTCATCGCAACAATACATGGGAGGTGACAGAATTACTGGAAGAAAGTCAACCCACAGGTGTGAAGTGGTATTCAAGAAAAAGATGAATGCTCAAGGCAAGATAAAGTAGTACAAGGCGCGACTCGTTGAGAAGGGATAAAGCAAAAGGTGACTGACAAAGTGTTTGCTCCCGTCACAAGAATGGAGACAACCTGATTGCTCATTTCCCAAGTGGCTCAATTCAAATGGCCGATTTTTCAAATGGATGTCAAGTTGGCATTCTTGAATGATGTACTTGAAGAAGAAGTCTACCTCAAACAACCACCCGGATACATGAAAATTGGAGAAGAGAAGAAGGTACTAAAATTGAAGAAGGCGCTTTACGGGTTGAAGTAAGCACCGTGAGCATGGAATACTCGTATCGATACATACTTCAAGGAGAACGGGTATAAGCAATGTACCCACGAGCATGCACTTTACACAAAGAAGAGTTGAGGTAATGTGATGCTTATCGCTCTTTATGTCGATGACCTCATCTTTTCAGGAAACAATGATGAAATGATAGAAGAGTTTAAAAGCACAATGACGCGAGAATTTGAGATGAATGACTTGGGCTTGTTGAAGTTTTTCCTTGGTTTTGAGGTTAAACAAGAAGAGATGGGTATCTTTATATCACAGGAGAAATATGCAAAGGAGATTTTGAAGAAATACAAGATGAAAAATTGCAACCCGGTATCAACACCAATGGAACTAGGTGCAAAACTCTCAAAGTACGATGAAAGAGAACGAGTAGATACAAATAGGTACCAGAGCCTGGTAGGAAGCCTTCGCTATCTTACATGCACAAGGCCAGATCTTTCATTAAGTAAGTGTCGGCATTATAAGACGGCTCATGGAGGAGCCAATTTATTCACATTGGAAGGCATTTAAGCGAGTCCTACGGTACATCCAAGGAATGGTGTCATTTAGGTTATTCTACTCGAAAACAGAAGATTACAAATTAGTTGGTTACTCTAACAGTGACTGGTGCAGGGACATAGACGACCGGAAAAGTATATGAGGGTTATGTATTCTTCATGGGCAACACATCATTTACTTGGCTTTCAAAGAAACAACAGATCGTAACACTCTCAACGTGTGAAGCTAAGTATGTGGCAGCATCTTGGTGCGTGTATCACGCGATATGGCTTAGAAATTTGTTGAGCAAGATGGAGCTAAAACAACGAGGTGCAACCGTGATTCAAGTTGACAACAAATCAGTAATTGAGTTGGCAAAGAACCAAGTGAACCATGAAAGAAGCAAACACATTGACGTTCGATTTCACTTTCTCCGAGATCATGTGAAGGAAGGAAGCGTGGAATTCCTGCATGTGACAAGTCAAGATCAAGTTGCAGACATCTTTACAAAACCGCTACTGAAACAAGAAGATGATTGACATGACAGATGATAGGAGCATTTAAGTTTATGGGGGAGTTTTGTTGAAATAAACTTAAAATGCCAAATG